GCCCTCAGAGGGGCTCCGCCGTCGCCGGCTCCCGGCCCGAGTACGGCCCCCAGAGGGGCTCCCGGCCCGAGTCTGGCCCCTCAGAGGGTCTCCGCCGTCGCCATCTCCCGGCCCGAGTCCGGCCCTTCAGAGGGGCTCCGCCGTCCCCCGCCCCCGGCCCGAGTCCGGCCCTCAGAGGGGCTCCGCCGTCGCCGTCTCCCGGCCGGAGTCCGGCCCCCATAGGTGCTCCCGCCTCCGCCGTCGCCGGGCTCCAGTCCGGCCCCCAGAGGGATCCCGCATCCGCCGTCGCCGGGCTCCCTTTCGGCTTCCAAAGAGATTCCGCCGCCGGTCTTCAGTCCGACCACCCGAGGGTCTCCGTCTCGTTCGTCGCCGGCCCCCTGATGGGTTCGGCCGCTGGCCTCCAGCCCGACCGCCCGAGAGTCTCCGTCTCGTCCGTTGCCGACCTCGACCGCAACCACCTGATGGGTTTCTTGGCCACAAGCCTCCAGTCCGACCTCCTGATGGGTGCCATGGCCTCTGTGGCCCCGCCTGGCCATTCAGCCTCCAGGCCGTCCTCCGGAGCAACCCTGCCTACCTGTGGAGTATATATTTTTGTTTGCCTTGCTGACAGGCTCCCAGGCTGTCCTCTGGACCTTTTGGTTTTTTAAACTGTGGTTTATGACCTGTTTCTGGATTACCTGCCGGCTTTGTTTTTGGTGGTTTTGTTTTTTCTCCCCCTATAGACTTCGGATTATCTGCCAGACTGTTCTGGACATCTTTTTTTTTTTTTTTTTTTGTCCCTCCTCCGGACCCCCTCCACCCACCAGGCTCATTTTGGACCTTGTTTAGTGCCCGTTTGGCCTCATTGTGCGCCAGGAGGCGCACGGGGGGTGGGGTAACTGTCATGACCCCCCAGCCCTTTCCTGTCTCCCTCTTTTTCTCCCTCTCTTCTCCCTCCTGTCTGCCTCTCGCTCTCTGTCCCTCTCCCTCTCTGCCCCTGTGCATCTTGGCTCTAATCAGGACAATCACCCTCAGCTGCAACTTCGGACTCACCTGCACACTATCACCACTGCTCCTATAAATACTCGGTTCATTCCACCACAAGCCGCCGGCTCATAGACATTATATTTGCACGTTTCTGCCAGTCTCCACTTCGCCTCTCCCTGGATTTCCCTGAGCCTGTCTGCCCCCTCTGTTTTCCGTCCTTAGTGAGTATTCCTGTTTGTGTGAGTTTTCCAGTTTTTTTGTAACTTAGAATCCGTTAGGTTTCCCCCTCCGTTCTTAGTTGGAGTTTTCTCTGGTTTTGCAGTTTCGTCCTTTTTTTTTTTTTTTTTTAATTCTGTCTATTTGTTTCGTTCTGTTTCCCACTCTGTTTCGTCTACACCCTTGTATTTAGTTTTCAGTTTTGTTTTTGCCTCATTAAAATCCTTTTGCACTGTACCTGCCTGTCAGCCTGATCTGTGTCTGCTCCTGGGTTCCCCGATTGCCCCCCGTGACAGAATTATGGAGCACTTTATTTCATGTGACATCCCAATAATGCAGAAATGTTCCACTTTGGATGGATCCAAATCCAAAATGGTAACACGTGGAAGGGTCCTTGTAACGCTTTGCAGCTCTGCAGTTTAGTTCACACTACCAAAATAAATCAAATGAAAAATAGGTTTTAAAATTCCAATTTTTTTTTTTAGCACTTCAGAAATGAACGGTTGTCTGTCATTTTATTTTGAAATTATTCACACTGGAGGTTTTGCGTCAGAATTATATTTTTGAATAAAAACTGTAATATGTATGAATGTATTTTAACTTTCCATTTCTGAGTTTTGTACTTGCGATTGGACTGTACCATTGGTGACCAGGGGAGTCTACAGCCAGCCATGGACACAGGAGCCCATTCAAATTATACAGTATGCAGCGTTTGACCATGAAATAATTTATCAGCTGTATAATTTTGGAACGCTTTGGACTTATGGAAACATCACTCACAGACTGGAGCCACTGGCAGATGTACTGCTGTTGTTGTTTCGATTAATATAACGGCCTTCAAATGCGTTTTTGACTGTGCCCAGAGGGTAAATATGTGTATATGATCCTCAAGTATAATCTATAGGATGATAAATGCATGAATGAATAAATAAACAGATTAAACTAAAGACAATATTGTTATAGACCACATATTGTCTGTGTCATTTTATTAGTGCCCTACAGATATTGCAGCTGATAAATCATTGCATGGTCAGATGCACTACAAGGATTCCAATGGACACTAATGGTACAGTCCAATCATAAGCACAGAAATGAAAATATAGAATATTTAGTTCTTTTTTTATTTCAATTTAAAGATCTGATTCTGAAGCAATAACCCTGAAATTGAGACAATTCTCTATTTGTACGGTAACTAACAAGAATAGACAATGAAAGTTTTAAACCCATTTTTCATTTGATTACTTTTGAAGGTGCGAACTGAACAACAAAGTCTCAATCTGCTGGGAGAAATGTCGACAGTACATAATGTGTTTGCATTTTATTTTCACAGGTAACAGCAGTGACCCATCATGTTGCAATGCCATGAGTCTTTCATTGAGCAAGCGACTCATTTCAGGACACGTACAATCAGCCAGCAGAGATCACATCAGCTACCGAGATCGACTGATACGTCCTCATTAATATTTATGACTCGATAACTGCAGGGCCAAGAGGTTCTGTAGTAACTGTAAATTAGGGACCAGCCCAGGTTACATTGTCAGCTGAATTGCTTTAACACTTTTTGAAAAATTGACTCCATTACAACTTGATTGATTTCTTGTGCATCTTTCCTTCTCGTATGGTACTGCAGGCCACAAGCAACAGTTCCTCTGCTACTTTAAGAGGAAATAATAAACCTACTGCCCAACAAACATCTGTTTTTCTTCTATTTAATATTAGTTCTAGCTTCTTCTTTTTTTTGCCCTTTTCAATACAATCAATGAAAAAGTGTCCATGTGTGTCGCATCATGTCATTAGCAGGGTGTGAAATCCTCCACAGCGAGAGATGTCAGATAGAAGCTGCAGGGGGGCTTCTCATATCAAACACTCCATCCCTCCCTCATGCACGCACCAACGCATACTAATCCACACACATGCACGCTCAGTGGCTGTGATGCACAAACAAAAACAGTCCAGACATAAAAAAAACCACAACAGCACTCCTTCTCTGCTGCTGCGTGTACCTGGTCAGAATCAGTGTTCGATGCAGTCGGCTGTTTCTGAACATGCATGGAAAAGGCACGAGCTGCCTGTAGGGGTGCAGCCTGCTTACATTAACATACTAATTAAACCGTGCATGTGTGAGTGTGTAGTGCACAAGTGTTGCAAGCATGTGTTCTACTTAAAGATGAAGATGCTCTATTGTTCAGTATCTCACAGCTCCTTCTCTCATAAACAAGCTTCATCATCCAATAATGTGTAACAGATGTGAAATTTAAAATGCTGGATACGTGGAGTCTGCATGACGGCCGAGGACACGTCAGCTTGACTTGTGGTCAGACTGCTTCTTTTAAATGATGAAATCATGTCTGAGTAAAGAGCAGCATATTTTGTTTGGTGTGCAACGCTGAATATCTAGATGCTGAATAGAGGATCATACAACAGGCAGCTGCGCAAACAATTCTGCAGGTGTAAGTAAAGTTACCAGTGGGATTATTTGCTTTATTGGTGACATTTCAAGCTGTAAAATATAGTTGATTGGAAATTCCTCCTTTTAAGCACTTCGTAACTCGTTATAACTCACCAGCCTGAATGTGGGCTGATTGAAAATTCTGCTACTGTATTTTTAATGGCGTTGGCCCCGATTATACATCATTTGAAAGCACAAAGCCTCATGATTCAGATGGTATAAATGATTTGAAGATACCGATACCACAGCTACAGCAGCGGCAGTTCTCTACATTGTAATAAAAACGTGTATTCAGCAAAACGGTAGCTTGTAACCTCCTTCACCATCCTTGTTAAATCGGTAAGTGCTGCACATTTTAACTGTAAGAATTCAGCAAACAACATGCCTCTAATTGTTTCGCCTATTTTAGTAAAAAGTGGATGTTAATGTGTTAAACACGCTAAATTTCACTTAGTTTCTGAAACATTTTGAAGGAAGTCGGAGTCCAAATGAGGCTCAATTTAATAGTTGTTATTGAGTTTCAAAAGTTTCAGATGTCTGCAGGTCACAGCGTCGGTCAAAATATTTCCACTGTGCCTTGACGCTTCTTTGTGGCGTCTTCTTCTTGTCTTTATTTGAAGTGACTAACTCAAAGCAGAGCTGCACACAAACGAGCGGTGAGCGTGAGCGAAGGATTTCTGAAAGCATCAAGAGCAGATTTACAAAAACGAGAGCAAAGCGTCATTTTATCTATAAGCTAAGTTCTTTTTTTTTGTTCTGGTTCAAGTTACAGCTATAATGAAAATACAGTGCATGTGCAATTGTTTTACTCTCATTGGAGAGTGCTGCAAGCGATCTGTTGAGACTGCAGTGAAATTTGTGTTGAGCAAAGCGTTACTGAGCTGAGCACTGTGGGAAAGTTATGAATATGAAAATGATGAGAGCAAGGAGCAAAACTTTACATCCACTTTCCTCACATTTGCTGTTAAATCTTCACATATGTCTGTTAAGTCAATACCAATAAGATAATAAAAGGATGACGTCCTTAGAATATAATGAATGTGGTGTCTGTGGTGGTGTTCTTGTGCAAAATCCCAAGTCACACACAATTAGACCCGAATTATATCGTCTGCATTCGTGAGTACACAAGGGTCTGTCTGATGTAAGTCTCGTCATTCCTCAAAGTCCACGAGAGTCAGTGTGCAGCCCAAAATATGTGTCCATGCAGCAACTACGGTCCAAGGACAGTAGAGTGCATGTGCAGAACACATAAAGGCAGATCTCCTGCACATGTATGAAACAGAGTCCACCAAGCAGACTAGAAAATCGTATATTTGAAACAACTACACTTCCTTGGTTTCCCCAGCTGTCCGTGTGTACGTAGACAGACTTAACGAGACAGACTGGCTCTTCAACTCACCAGTGTGAAGAAGCTTAAGAAGATGTAATTCCCACTTTGCTTTCATGTACGGTGACCTCAGATTGTTTCAGAGGCACAGATGTCAACAGCCAACTGACCGATAACTTCACACTGGAGATACAGATTGGATCTTTGTGAAGTCAGCTTCAAAAACACCTGCAACTACTGCTTATCGCCATAAACGCTGACAAAGAACGCAAAGCAGGCGTAAAATAATCAGCATGAGTGGTAGTGGAACAATCTGTAGGTTAAAGCTGTGTATCTGATCGGAGCTCACCTGATTGAACCCCCTGTTGAAATAAGGAAGCAGGAATAAGCGACAATAATGAATAAGGCACCCTCAGCTCTGTGTGGATGTGACCTTGAAGAAGACATGAAAGAGTAGAAGCAGACAGGAGATCATCTGTGAGATGAAGCATGAGTGTGTGTGGGTGAGAGGTGAAGAGAGACGTCGGCCTGTGGGAAAAATAAGAGCGACAGACTCGAAGAACGCCGTTATCGGTGTGTTTCAAAGGATATGAAAGCAAAGCGGGTCTCTTGTCTGTCTTTTAGTCTTTGTTTAATATGTATGTGTGTATGTATGTAAATGTGTGGGTGGTACTTTGTACAGTACAAGTGTGAAGCAGCTGACAGTAAAAAGGGAAAGACAGATGCAGGTTGTTAGTGCCGCTCTATGTGGTGTAAGAAAACTTAACGTAACTTTGCTTGCCTTTGTTCTGTTGGGGAGGTAATTCCACTTATTTTACAGCAATAACTAGCTCCTCTGCTCTGCATGTATCCAATGAAGTTGCAGGTATATATTGTGTTTTAAATGCTGGGAGAACCAAGACGTCACTAACATGACCGAGTGTTTTCACCTTGAAACTGCAGCATACTAATGTCTCAGCTAATCACATCAATTCTAATTTCCGGAGTTTCATAAACAACGAACGAAAGGAATCAATTCTCTCAGTTTGCACGGTGGGGCTATCATTATTCTTCTTTAGAATCGTGTCCAGTTCGAACATGTGTGGCTGAATTATACTACAGCTTGCCATTGTGTAGTGTAGAATAGTTTTATAGTGTTGGAGCAGAGTCATAAGTGAGCTGGTGTGCTGAGCTGCAGCGAGCTGTGTGGCAGGGACTTCAACGATCAGCACATTCTGAAGAAGACAACTATCTGGAGTTACATATAAGAGACACCTTTAAGGTAGAAAGGGATTATTTTAAAGGGAAACATGTTTAAATATGTAACTTTGACAATTGAGAACCTGAAATGTTACCAGAATAACCAAACTGACTGGTGCTACTGCTTCTAGGCGTTTTAAAAATGACATTTAGAAAAAAAATGTGTAATATGACTGCATGTAAAACTATTTCTAATGCAAGAAATTAAGGAAATATTAAGCCTCAATGAGAAATAACTAATTAACCTTCAATGAGTAATTCTGTCCTACCTTTATTAAGTTTATTCTTTAGTTTAAACCTAGTTTTTGTTAGAAATTTGTACTAGAATTTCTACCACTCAGGAGATTATGTGTGAGCCCTGTCATAAACGGTGACAGGAGTCTGTTTTAGAGCAGAGTGAGTTGATAAATGGGTTAGTAATGGTTGGCTTTCTGAAGATAATTAGCACTGTATGAACACTTTCCCTGTAGATGCACAATCGGATGGAGTTAATTCATTACATGTGTGACCTGCATATAATACTGTCCATTATGCAAATACACACAAACAGACACAGATGCGAAATGTGCTGAAACTAATCTGCTGCGTGGAAGCTGTTTGATGAGCTCCTCTGAAGTTGTGTTTTATGTTTTTATTATACAAAACATAATTGGTATGTGAATGTGATTCGCACAGCCTTTAGAAACACAAAGAAAAACACATTTCACTTTGAATGTCTCTGTTTTTCCACCAGTAAACAGAGATAGCTTTCTACTACATTACCTGTACATGTGCACAGTGTTTGTGTGTGTGGAAACATTCTGGGTCTGCACTCACCACTCCTGCTGCGTAGCATCCTGGCTGAGACGCCGTTGGCTCTTCCTCCGCTGGGCGAACAGGCCGTGGCATTTTCTACTGAGCTCACCTCACCTCCCTGCTGCTTCAGCAGGTCTGTTAGAGTCCTAGAGACGCACACACACACACACACACACACACACACAAACATTGCCTGTAAATCGGTGCTCAACATGTAATTTGGTCTGAAAAAACAGCTTAAATAAAACATATAAATCACTGAATTCAGATCGTTTTTATGTCTTATAGATGAAATCTTGCTGCTCCATTTAATTTTGGATGTTAGGATGTGTTAATAATTGACAAAATAAATGAGGCAGAGTGTAATGTGGTTAAAAAAAGATCTCAGTAGTTGGTGAAACATTTTATGTCTCCACTGTTGCTTTGGGCAAATTATGAAATACAAATGTCCCCTGCTTTTACCATCTACACCCTGAGCCTTATGTGGCTTCAAGACAAATCTCACACTGAGATGATGCCAAAACAGAAATTTAAATGGAAAATCAAACCAAATAGAAGGTTCGGGTTTAACATGATAAATATTTTGTTTTGCAGAAGCCACACGAAACAATGAATATCAGAAAAACAGAAAAACGGAGCCCCGCTTCCCTCATCTGATCCCCAGCACATAAAACATTATTTGTATCACCCTTCATCTTGAAAATAATTGCAAAATTACTACTTAATCTTTTATGTTGGTACTGCTGCAGCGCTTGACTCCAAAACACATTAGTTGGTCAGCAGTGAGATAACAAATATCATCTGTTATCCTGACAGTTGTGTGTTGTTGGTCTCTTGAGAGGGCTTTTCCCTGCAGCTGGAAGCAAGGCGTGAGCACACACAAACACACACACACGCACGTAAACACACACACACACACACACACACACCAACCCACAAACATGCAGGCAGTTCATTCACAGGACATCCCCTCATCCCAGGGGAAACCGTGTTCACTATGTGTGGAAATGGTTGTACAGCTGGAGTGCGCAGAAAAAGGCTTTGTTTTTCAAAAGGAACTCTCAAAGAATCTGCTGGGAGAAACAATCCCCCTTAATAAGCACACATTAACATCACAGTTATAATGAGAGGAGTCTGTCCGTCCATTACGGCTGCAACTAATGATTACTTTCATTGTGGATTAGTCTGCTGGTTATCTGCTTGATCTATAAAATGTCAGAAAATGGTGGAAATTGTCGATCAATGTTTTCCAAAGGCCAAGATGACATCCTTAAATGTCTTGTTTGGTCCACAACACAAAGATCTTCAGTTTACCGCCACAGAGGAGGAAAGAAACGAGACAAAACATCACATTTAAAAAGCTGCAATCGGACAATTTTGACTTTTAAAAGTGGACAACTAATCAATTAATCATTGCAGCTCTACTGTTTGTGTGTCTGTTCTTCACATTTCTCAACAACAGTTTGTCTGATCTGCTTCACACTTGGTGGATGTATTGCTGGGGACCCAAGGAAGCGCAGTGTGAAGTTGAGCCTCCTATTTTGACGTCCTCGACAGGCCTTTATCGTCAGGGACTTCACACCAGCTAACTGACTGCAGCTCTTTTGAAAACTCTACAAAAACTTACTACCAGACTATTTTGGATAGCGTTACCCCTTTTAGGTAATATATGATACTGTATCTAGTAAACAGGAGGGTCAACTGGTAAATACCTGGTATTAATAGCTATTAATTAGACTGAGTAATGGTGTGTTACCATGATGCAGGGCTGAATCATGACTGCACCACCACTTTGATGTTTGAGCTCTCTTAACTTCTCTCTATCTGCACATTTGAAATTTTACTTACAAAATCAAT